AATGATAGATTAAACAAGTGCAAGTTTGGTTGTTTCTCCTTAAAGCACGAAAGTGTTTTTCTCCCTTACTGTTTGCAAAATTTGTTTTTAAAGTTACAGGTATGGAATTTTACTGATGTTTCTTGGTAAATTAAATGTAGAGTTTCTTTCTGTTGATGTTCTTCAGATTCACTTAATCTGTACTTTCTGCTTCCAATATTTCTGGGTAATATTTTTGTAGGATTTTTGGAAAATGATAATGAGACATGCCACTGGGAGAAATTGCCTGCCTTCAAATTCAGCACTATTTTCAACACAGTTCTCATATGTTATTTCACTCTAGTTGTTTTAGTTTTTTGTTTTGTTTTGTACCATTATTATTTTTCTTCTGCCTCTGAAGTTTTTGCATTCCAATTTTGTTGTCCTCGTTTTTAAAAACCAGATCTATTCATCATTCCAGGCTGGGGTTATCCAGAAGCCAATCTCTCTATTGATCAGCATGACTGGTTTTACTTCCTCTGTTTCCAACTTGGATTGATTTGATTTGCCTTTCCTTAGGCAACTCGGTGTCCCCATCTTCTCCCAGAAGTTCATCATATTAATACCAAACTTATTACAGTCACTTAATCTATGTAGCCCACTACAGTTCTGAACTGAGCTGAAGAGATCTACCAGTCTCATCCTTAGCCTCAACCTCCCTGGTAGGAGGGATTACACTCATATGGCACCATGTCCCTTTGCTGTCTTCTTTTTCTGAAGTCTACTGTTATGGAGAGTATCTGTCTTTTGTTGTAAAATTATTAATCCCTAAAATCACTAGTTCTCTATTAGAAGAATCCCTATTTCTGTACTTATTTCTTTGATATTACCAATTAAGCTTTGGATTGCTCCTTTGAGCCACTCTGGGAGTTCTTGGACTCTCATTGTCTTTTCAGGGGAACATACAGAATTTCTTGTGATACTCTCCCCTTCCCCAGGGGATTTTGATTCAATTTTCCTTGGGAAGTACTGTTTTTGGAGAAGATTCTTTTCTTTGAATTCTTCCTCAGTTTTTGTCCCTTGTAATTACTCTATTGATTTTTTTCTTTGTTGTTCTTACTATTAATAATCATAAAAGTATCTAAATACATAATAGTACAAAACAAAACAAAAAAACTAAAACAAGATTGAAAGAACATGTGAGAACTCTGTTGAAAATAATGCTGAACTTGAAGGCAGGAAAGCTCTCCCAGTGATACATCTCAATATCATTTTCCAAAATCCCATATGAGATATGTACTACCATATCCACATTTTATAGACAGGGAAACTGAGGCTTAGAGGAGGCAAAGGACTTGTCTACAGTCATGCAGCAAGTGTCTGAATAGAGATTTAAACTCAAGTCTTCCTAAATTCAATTCTAGACATTATGCATTGTACCATCTAGTTGTCTCTTATGCTACTGTTCATCCTTTCCCTCCAGAAAGCCTAGTAATATTATGCATTTACCCCAATTCCTGATGACTATGAGGGAATGGGAGAAAACAGTTGGAAAACTATTGTGTAGAGATTTCAGTTGACTACTGTAGCATGATCTGTTCCCCTCCTTTGTAAGTCTCACTCTTCTGGGGTCCAGTGTGTTCTCTTCAAATGACTTTCTTTAAATTCTTGGGGTCAGCATCCCTCAATGTGGGTCAACATCCATGACTACCTTCCCATTCTTTCATGGACTTGTCATGTGAAGATGGTTGTGAATTCATATCGTCATCACCATCCCTTGAAGAAAAAGCATCTGCTTTATGGTCACAGTATCCAGTTCTCTCCCATTTTGAAAAAGATTCATTTCTATCATTTCACTTCAAATTTTTTGTGGTCCTTCTTGTCCTCTTTCTCTTTTCCTTACAATCTTGTATCCTCCAACCTCGTGTTGGTTAGGTTCTTGTGCCACCCTTTCTCAAGATTAGTCTTCTGTATTTTTATTTTGCAGTACTTCCAGGTAGTTCAGTGGCACAATGGGGACTCAGGAAGACTAATCTTCAAGTCTGGCTGTAGATACTTACTAGCTGTATGATGCTGGGCAAGTCATTTAACCCTGTTTGTCTTCATTTCCTCATTTGTAAAATGAGCTGGAGGAGGATACAGCAAACCACTCCACAATCTTTACCCAAATGGGGTCACAAAGAGTCAGACACAACTAAAAAATGACTCAAATAAAAAAAAAACTTGTTATATTATTTTCTCTGAGAACTTGGAGAGCAGAGAGCATTTCCTTGGACCCTGTTACTCTCTCTTAAGAGAATAACTAGATGATACTTTGAACATAGACAATAATAATTACCCAGTCATGACTAAAGATAAATATTATGTAATTTATGAATGTCTGAAAAAATTGCTGATCTCTATACTTTCTGAAAACAAGATGCTCTCAGACCTTTGTCTTTCATGCAAATAACTCTTCTATGTTTTTAAAACAATTCAACTACTTCTCCTTTTTCCTCTTGTATTTATCTTTCTCCTTGAGTTTTACCAAATTTGCATCATAACTTTTAATTTTCCTAAGATTTCAGTGCCAAATAAATTATCACAAGTCCAAAAATATCAAAACATCTTTCATAATTCCTTCTCCTTACTCTTTTTCAGTTTAATTTCTTTTCCTGCAACCTGCCTGAGTCTTCTCCTCCCAACTGTCAACATTCATTCTTATTTTAGATTTAAAATATAGTTAAATATAAATGACAGTTTTTTCTGTTGGTGGGGGGCAGATCCATGTTTTTATTTATAAAAGTAGAAAACAGTAAGGAAACTCCTTCTGCCACAGCTTTCTCTTGATAGAGTTTAAGCCTTTTGAAGACAGTAAATATCTCTTTTATTTTTCTATCTGAGCACTCAGCACAGGTCTTGACACATAGAAAGCCCTTAAGAGATACCTATAGATTGACTGATCAATTAAGGTCCCAGACAGTAAGGGATTATATCTCTTCAATTGTCTTAATGTGGCTTGTAAAATGGTGTACATCATTGGGACTTTGTAGATTTTTTGTGGTTGTTGTTTGTTTTGTTTTGTTTTTTGTAGGGATGATGATATTTGTTAAATGGTTTTAGCTTGTTTCCAGGAAGATTCTCTACTGCATGAAAGATGTATGTATCATTCTTAATGGGCGCATAGAGTAAATGAATGTTCTGAGCACATAAATCTTAGCCCCAAAGGAGGTGTGTGAGAAGAAAAATGCAACTGTCCCTAAGCCAATGTTCAAGTTAACCAAGTTTTCCAAAAGGATTCCTGGCAGGGTTGTAAACAAGAATCGACAATCAGGCAATTCCTTTAAACATTTTGAAAAGATGCTACTTAAAATATTAAACATTTCTGTGTTTGGAGGGAATCAGAAGAAAGAGTAGGAGACAGAAAAAGAAGCAGTAGTCTCAAAGGTTATTTCTTCAAGTGTCTAAAAGCCTAGTACTATTTACTTCAGCTACCATTTGTTCCATCTCATATATCAATTCTCTAAAGACTTTATATTTGTGATGTATAGATCCTGCAGAGGCAGGAAAGGGAAGATATTTTGATTTCTGATAATTAGGAAAATACTAGAATGTTCTCTTTTTAATATGCATTATTGTCAACATAGCCTTGAATGTATGGCTACAAATTATGAATTTTCTCTTTAAAAACAATCACGATAGAATAACTATCTGCTTTGTTCTCCATTTGCTGTAACTCAATATAAAATGCAATATAGTTAATCATAGTTTTAAATTATTTGCCTTGCATTAATTTCATCAAGACAACACAACAAGCAAAGCACAGGCCCCAATAAAATTGCGTATTTAATAACCAAATAGAAGCAAGCCAGTAAAAAGCCTGAGACTTAGACCTATTCAATCAATTAACATGCATATAGTAAGTGCCTTAAGGCTTTAACTTATTATTAAGGGCTTAAGGGATGCAAAGATAAAAAAAAATTTAAAAATCAAGATTTCAGGAAATATTTTATTTAGGGGAGAGACAACATGTAAATACACACATACAAAAAATTTAAAAATAAATTTTGAGCACTTTGAGCAGATGGTTTGGGGGAGGTACTAGAAGCTAAAAGAGGGTTGGTTCAGTAAAGACCTCATACAGAAAGATTCCAAGAGGTAGAGATAAGGTGAACATGTATTCCAGGCATGTCCAACAAAGACTTTGGCAATAATGGGTCAATAATTGGTTGGTTTGTTTGGTTTTTAATCAATGGTTCTACATATACTCCAATTTCTGAATGAGCCATGATATGTCTATGCATTCTACTCCTTCTCTGATGTAGAATTAAACCCTTTTATGACTTATTAAATGGTGTTTCAGAATTGCAATGGCAAGAAAAATCCATCACTAACTTTCTGCTGACACATCTCTGTAAACTTATCTAAGATGGTCTTTGAGTAGACGATACATCACCAGTGCTTTTATTCAAAGCCTTTTCAACCTGGTATGACCTGCCAAAAATTGTATTTACCTGAAACAGCCTTTCAGGATCCACTGTCTCCTCCATATTACTCAGAAAGATAAAAGAAGGATTTTAGTGGAGAAAACTATGTAGAATAGTCTTGTAAAGAGAATCCCCAGTGTAAGTAGAAGGATTTCTCAGTTGGAGTAATTGCAACAAATCTGCCAAATCTACTTACATTAATCCCAATGATCTCATATTTGCTATGTGCAAGGGAAAGAAATGAAGCAGGATTAACCCAAACAAATAAGATATACTGAAGATTAATTTACATACATTTTGGAGGTATGGATGACATTTTATAATTAATATCTGAAGAATTAATGAAGATTTGAAGGATAAACAGAATTTCTTTTTTTTTAAAGCAATTAACATTCATGTGCCAACAGTAGAAATGAGCCTTCACCTGTGCCTAATGAAGCACATGAAATTTCTTCAAGTTGTATTTAGTGCTTAAATCAGATTTGAGAAGATAATTTAGATGCACACTTTTATATTTAAATGGACTTTTATTTAAAAAATACATTCAGACCAATGCATATAAATTGAGGTTGATTTTTTAAGATAAGGGTGAGAATTGCAAAGTGATCTGAGAATGGTTGCCTCCAGCTGCTAGCAACTTGCTGGTGAAGTGAAATTACATTCAACATTCACTGGTGTAATTTTTGCTCTCGTGGTTTAACTGAAGCTGTCCTTTCTTCAACTCTTCAGCAACTATTTTTGTTGGGGAAAGAAAAGAAGAAAAAGTAAAACTTGATTTCCTTCCATTTATCAATTTCTGGACATGGCATGTTTCCCTTTTTTGTGGTTAAATATTTCTTGTATACTTATTCTACATAAAGCCCTATAATCCAAAACATGTGGGATAAATGAAAGAAAGGTAAGACATAGCATCTTCACTGCAAAAATCGATAGTCTACATGAGAAAAGAAAGCAAAAAAACCAAAACAAAACAGGATACATAAAGTCCTTGTTTTCATTCATTGTAAATGAAAGGTGAGCTCTTTCAGTTTTTCTTTGTATTCATTAAATCAAATAGTGTTACAGAGTATACCCAAGACAAAGTATTGGCCCTCAGAGGTGTTGGAATTTTGGATATCAAGAAGGGATGTTCAACTTTTTTTTATAATTGTATTTGATCTACTTAAAAAAATCTTCTGCCTCTCTCCTTCCCAATTTCCAGTTGTTTCTACTGTCTGGCCCTCTTCTCCCAACTTCATGTGATTTTTACTCTTCTGATTCCTTTCAAGTGGTCAGAGATTTAGAGTTAAAAGGAACTTTACAGATAACTTGGTTCATCTCATTCAGTCATGCAGGAAATCAGGGATTACCCAGAAATTTTGTCATTTTCTTTGTTTATTACTGTCCCCTTCTTCCCACCTGGAACATTGACCCTCTGAACCAGACCCCTAAGGATCATGATCTGCCAACCCCTGCCTTGGGAAGGTAATTTATTCAACTACAGAACTTCATCCTGTACCGTAATTGTCCTGATTGGTGACTGAGTGCCAACTCACCTCGCCCATCATATAAGGCATGAGGTGGCTAGGTGGCATTGTAATTGGAGAGGTGGACTTGGAATCAGGAAGATCTGAGTTCAAATCCAGACTGAGATACTTACCAGTTGTGTAACTCTGGGCAAGTCACTTAACCTCTCTGTACCTCAGTGTTCTCATCTGTAAATTGGGCATAATAGTAGCACCTACCTCTGAGAGGTGTTATGAGAATAAAAAAGATATTTATAAAGTGCTTTGAAAAACTTAAAATGCTATATAAATGATATTGTTATTATTAATATTATTATTATCTAACCAGCCACAGATCATGTTTCCAGTCTCGTCTAGCCATCTACCAGGAAACCAGAACCTATCAAGACAAGTTAGTTTGGGCCCTATTTCTCTCTTTTCCTCTTGATCCCCTGTCCCACACATTTCTACCTCTTACTCTGGGAATAGTAATCAAATCAATACTATTGTTACTATTGGAAAGACAGTGACAATCTTATGCCCTATGGCCTTACCCGTAATTCCTGTGACTGACTCCGTAGACCAAAAACTCTTTCCCTGGCCACCATTCCCTGAGGTTTATCATCCCCTATTATAATATGAGCTCTTCGAAGGTAGGGACTGTCTCTTTTTTTAAATTTGTATCTCTAGCACAGTTCCTGGAAAATGGCAGACACTTCATTTTTTTTCTTTATCTTCTCTTATAAATAAGGAATCTGAGATTCAGGGACAATATGTGATTTGGACAAGGTCAAACAACAAGTTAGTGATAGCATGAGACTAGACCTTATGTCTCCTGACTCTCAGCCATTATTCTTTTCCCTACACCCAATTTTCTAACTCTCAAGAGCTAATCTTTCCATCATGTTAACATTTATACCTTTATATAACTTTATATCTTCTCCTACCTTATGAGGTATGACCTTCCTCCCTCCCCACTTAACATGTTTAATTGCTTCCTTTTAGTTTTTTCTAATTTTTTTTTATCATTTACTATAAAATATTTGAAAAGTAGGGCAGAACTTTCACTTGACTTCACTTCTCTTTTCAATTACCACTCTTTTATTTTTCTGCCCTGTGTAATCACTTCTTCAATGGGTGATCCACACTCACTGATTCTATTTGCTACTAATATTTAACCCTCAATGCTGATCATATCATTACAACCACTACTATCTTTAAGGTTGCTAGTAATCTTCCAAACAAATAGGCCAAATGGTTTCTTATTGTTCTTCAGCTTAGGCTGGTTAAGATGGTCATGATTATACTTAGTTTTGTAGGATAATATTTTTATTGGTTGTAAGCCTGTTTCCCTTTTACTCTTTGTTATATTCCAGGATTCCCTTTTCTTTAATGCCATTGAGGTCTTATATGATCGGGACTGGTTCCTTAATACCTGAAGTCTGTTTATTTCTGGCCAATTTTAGTGGGTTTTTTTCCCTTTGATCTTAAAGATCTGTATTTTGCTTATGACATTTCTGAGTGTATTTTATTTTGGTTTTTGTTCAGTAGATAGGTGACTGATGGATTTTTTCTATTTTACTATACCCTCTAGTTCTAATAGTTCTTGGTAATTTTATTATTTCTTGAAACTTGGTATCCAGGTTTTTGTGGTTGTTGTCATTGTTATTGTTGTTACTTCACATTCTTTAGAGATTCCAGTAATTTATAAATTATCTTTCCTCCATCTGTCTTCCATGTCTTTTGTTTTTGATAGTATTCCCCATCAGTTCTAACTTGTAAGTCTTTCAATTGTTATCTAATAATTTTTGTTTGTTTTGTTTTCTCCATTCTCTTTTTAACAGTATTTACTTCTTAGGTTATGTTTTCCATTCTCTGTTCTAAGTTATTTATTCTCCTTCCATTTTTCCCACAAGAGTGCTAATTGCACTTTCAAAAAAAATATTTTACTTAATTTCTTCCAACCACTCCTGGACTTTTTTTTTCTGGAATTCTATTTGAATTTATCCAGTATTACTCTTTTCTTCTGAGTGTGCCTCTGGAGCTTCATCTTAACATATAGTAATCTTCATTGTAGCAAGGTTTTTTCTGTTTTCTTTCCTTCCAAAATTATTGTTTATTTCCCAAAAATTGTTGGAATTTTGCCCCAGGTTCAGACTCTTACTCTGGGTCTTAGTCTTGTCCCCACTAAAGTGTAGTTGCTGCTATCACTGCAACTCCTATGGCCCAGATCTGGAAGGGATGTGTTAGTCCTAGTTCTCATCTCTTCCCTCTCTTGCAAGCCTATCCTAGAATGGAGAGCAAGCCTAGAGTTTGGACCAGGACACATCTCTTTTTCACAATCTTCAATTCCTCTCTATTGCCTAGTTACCCAATGTGACCTCTCGCTTCATTCCCATTTCTTTCCTACACAATCTGCCCTACACAATCTCCTACCAAAAATTCTCTTCAACCTACCTTCATTTCACTCCTTCATTCTTTATTTATTCAGCACCTGAACTTCATTACATTAGAGTTCTACTGAATTTATAATTCACCAATTCAGAAATCTAGTAGATCAGAACAGCATGTCACTCCCAAACCCCAAGAAAGCGAAATTAAATTCAACTACAAGAATGAAAAAAAAATGTTAATAAAAGTAGCTGGAGGTGGATTTTGGTTCCTTTGGTTTTTTTGGGTTTTTTGTTTTTTGTTTTTTTCTGTATCCATCACACCTGCTTCATATGAAGCCTTTTCCTTTCTAAATCCTGGGGGAATGACCCTCAGGATGATTGCAATACAAATTGCTTGGTTTTTCAAACAAATTTTTCTTCAGGATCAGTACATGCAAAAATGAACTGACCCTTTCAAAGTCAGAACTTAGCAGTCAGTAGGCATGAATGTCAATTCTCAGCAAAGAGGTTGTCATAACAACACGCAAGGGCTTTGGAGTAACTGTGAGGATCGTAGCACAAGCCAAGTGAGCCCTCACAGGAAGAGTCATGATTAATGTGAATTTGAACTTCACAAATGCAGTTTGGAATCTAATAGCAGAAAGTCTTTGACCACTAATCAGACTGCATCATCCTTGAATACATAATAGGGGAGAATATCCTTTTCTAATATGAGTTGGAACTATCTGGCAAAATTGGGCTATAGACAAATTTCGAGAAAAGATAACTGTAGTTGGAATGGGCCTTAGAGATCAACTAGTTGGACCACTTCATTTTATAGATTCAGAATTCGAGTTTAGGAAAATTTAACAACTTACTTAAATTCACAAATATAGGGACTTTCTGAGACACTCTTCTTAGGAATTTTCTCACCTGTGCTTGCACATTCTTGTGCTGATCCTAGAAAGTATACTTCAGAATATAATCAGAATATGTTAATATCTTAATGCCTTGCTCCTTTCAAGGATATTTGCATTTGAAAGAAGAGTCCTGGCAATGACAAACAAAAACATGATCCAGGATGAGATTTCTGACATTGTAGCACAAGTGGGCCATTAAGAATTGGAGGCAGGATGTAGAGATTGAGGAAGAAGATAGGGCCTGATACCAACTCCAAGTTCAGCAACCTGTTCCAGACCAGGGTTGTAGGAGAGGGACAAAGACTCAGGTACCTCTTCCAGAACTGTGGTATAAAAATGGCAGTGGCAGTAGCATCCATATTGCCAAGAGGCCAAGACCAGGGCCTAGCCACCCCCTTGAAGAGGGAAGAAGTACACCGGCCTTTAGTAATGAGCATCAAAACCAAGTAACATCATGTCAGCTCTAGTTTCATCCACACATATGTTCTAACTCTGTTACAATGCGCATCGAAGGAATAGAGATTAAATTTGAGAAAAAATTAAAAGAAACAAAAATCTTATAGGCAGAAAGTCTGTTATCTGTCATAATCTTTTCTAACAAAGAAGGGTGGTCAGCAACTACCATGGCAATGCCTCTGTCACTCTTGCTTCTGTATCCAACTTTCTGGGCTGATATTCTAATAGTGGAGTTGGAAATTTACTAAAAAAAATAAATGGAGGATCACAGAATTAAAGCATATTAGAGTTGAGAAGAGCTTCAAAAGGAATCTAATTCAGTCCCTATTTGAATCATGAGCACGCCATGCAACACCCCTAACAAATGGTCATCCAGACTGTGTTTAGTAAACTCAAATGATAGTAAGCTCGCAGCCACATATGCTGCTTTTGAATCATTCTAATTGTTGGGAAGTTTATTCCTTATATTAATATGACATCTGACTGCTTGTGACTTCTAC